TGACCACTTAGCATGTCATTAATGAGTGAAAAACTAGGTCATGAGCACTTCGAAATGACATTAAGAATGCAATATTTTGGCTTTATTTGACATCGCGACAAATGCATCAAAGTAAATTGTAAAAAAAACAGAAATGGCAAAATTTTGTGGGGTCATTTGACCTCACATGACCACATGTGGTCCGCCCCTGGACATAAGCTAGTAAAGACTAGAGACTTTTATTGCAATTAAAAAGCGATATAGTTAACAAAAATTAGGGTCCGAATGTAATAAGGGTGGGTATATTGGCACTACACTCCTTTAACGGACTTTTTAAGAAAATTGTTAGCAGAGACAAGTTGTGCTACTTAATAAAACTCTTATTTAATTTTTATTATTTAAGAACCACTTCTCTCCCACACTCATTTTAATCACAAATTTTTCAAAAAATAAATATTTTTCATTTTTTTCATAATTTTTTCATACTTTTTAACCATACGCTCACAGTTATTTTTTAAATAATTTCTTTTCAAAAAATCTTTATCAAACAAGCACAAAAAGTTGAAGATGAAATGCGACAAAATATGTTAATGATACAAATACTATAATGAGCAAACTTTAAAACCTTTAATTACAATTGAAATGTGGTGCAACAAGTTGTGTGAATAATTACCTTGAGAAATGCTGTAAAAAAATTTGAACAATATTCTTACCACTTTAGTTATTTTAAAAAATAAAAATAAAAACTAAAAATTTGCATAGTGACGTTTTAAAGAAACTATTTTAATCCATAGACGTGTAATATCTAATGAGTCAAATCTTATGATTATTGTAACACAGTCATCACACTTTTTTTACAATTGAGACGTTATTGCGCATCAAACATTATCTGTACCGACCTTTTACTTTCCGACCAATGTAATCATAAAAAATAGAAACAAAGTGAAGCAATTTGAAGTCAACGTAGCAAAAGAAAGTCAACATTTCTTCCAAACTCAGGTGAGAAAACTCTTGCGTCCACCATTGGTGGAAACTCTAGCTTTCACAAAATCAAACATCAAGGAAATGTGCACACACCATTGCACTAAGATGTAGGCCCGGCTAATCTTTGAGAGACTCGATAGATCATTCAAAAACAAGACACGGTTCAGTTTTATACTCAATTTCAGATATTCTAATCACTTGACGCAATAGATCTAAAATGTATTATGCGAATTCTAATACTGCATAGTAAATAGTCAGTCAGACATAATCAACATCTCTGAACAAGCTAGAACAGACTAATGAAATTCGAGTCATGATCAAACATGTAAATATTTCACTTCTTCTTTTACACCTTTATACATGTTTTCAAAGTGTAATCCAACCCATTGTGCACGTTTGGACTTTACATGACAATTTCTACCATCGATCCTTTGGCCATATCTTATGTGGTACCTCAAATCCTCGTCATCTACAACTGTAGAGAAGCTTATTTTATTAAAATGAAAATCCAATCACTTATTTGCAGTTTGGAAAGAGACACTTGCACCAAACCCCAACAATAGTAGGCCCTCAATCATCAAACAATGTTGTCAAGTGCACATATTAAATTCGAAATTCTATTCACAACTTAAACAGGTAAAGAAGAAATGTGAATGTGAATATTCATTTTCATCGATTGCCCATCATAATAAAGTAGACAATTAAATCTAAATTTTAATTCGAATTCACATCATTTCTTTTTCTTCTATTAACAAATTTCTCGAATTTCGACTCAATCTCCATGCCTGTTTATCCAATTTTTTCTTTTTCTGTTCTTTTTCTTCTATTAGGTTCTTTATATCTTTTAACCATAATTTATAAATACATTTGCTATATTCTTATCTTTATGTAAAGAATGAATCATGTGTTACAACTGGAGATGTTGCGCCAATTAGTATCAACTAAGAGGTTATAATTAAATTATTTCTTTCATGTTATTTCATTGTAATGATCAGATGTGTAGAACTTTTGTTTGTAACATGTGATTTGGTTTGATTTGGTTTGGAAATTGAAGTGATTTGACTTAATTTGAAAAGATTTCAAATCGCTTTAAGTGATTTGGTTTGAAAATTTGTCAAATTTATCAAAAAAAAAAAATGTCCAAATCGAATCACAGTCACTCCTAATTAAGAGCAACAAATGTTATTTTAAAAAAAAATCTAAAATACCTTTCTTGTTAGTCAACCAATATTGACTCTACGTTAATTTACTCTTGGAAAACAAAAAATTTCGAACAATATTCTTAATACTTTAGTTATTTTAAATATAAATAAATAAATACTACAAAGTTGCATAGTGACATTTTAAAGAAGCTATTTTAATGCACGGACTTGTTTAATATCTTATAAGTGTAATCTTATGATTATTGTAACATAGTCCCCAGACTTATTTTTACCAATTAGACGATATTGTGCATCAAACATATTATCTGTACTCAACTTTTACTTTCCGACCAATATTATCATAAATATTGTCAAGCGTTCATGAAAAATAGTAAAAAAGTGTAAGTATGCAATTTAAGTCAAAGTAAAAGAAAGTCAACATTTTTTCCTAAATCCGGTGTGAACACTAGCATCCACGATTGACGGGAACTCCTACTTTCACAAATTCAAACATCAAGGAAATGTATACACACCATTACACCAAGGTGTTGGCCTAGCCAATATTTGGAGAGACTCAATAGGTTGTCCCGAAACAAGGCACCCTGCAGTTTATGTTCGGCTTCGAAAATTTTAATCACCTTACGTTGTAGATCTAAAATGTATTATGTGGATTCTAATATTGTATAGTGAATCTCATGTCATGATTGAGCATGTAAACATTTCAATTCTTTTACACCTTTATATGTGTAAAGTATAATCCAACCCGGTGCTGCACCTTTGGACATTGTGTGACTATAAACTTTCTTCCACTGTTGATCTAGTGGTGATCTTGAGTATAGGCACGGTAGGAGATCGTCAAAGGCTCCACTTTGGTGAGAGTCCTAAATTATGTAAGATTAATTAGTTGGTTCAGGGAAAATGAAAATTATATTTATGAATCTCTTTATAGTAGATTTATCAAAATGTAAACACAAGAAACTAATAAAAATTGAAAATGCAAAAATCTTTAAAAAAAAACATATAAATAGCGTAAAACTTATTACTTACACTTATTTATCATATAAATATATCACAAACATTACTCTCTCTAAATAAGTAATGTGACTCGTTATCTTCCAAACATCCCTTTTCTTTTCTTAACTAAACAAAAAAGGTCTATTTATCTATTCAAATTTCACATCTAACAATAACCCACCATAATTTTTTCAACCCAACAAGAAATGAATTGTCTCACTTTGAGTTATAATTTTTAAGATTCAATTTAGCATATTAGTCTGGTCTCGTTGCCATTATTATAGTCTTATTTGTTTCTTTTTTTTTTTCGCTATCTTCAAAAACATATATTACAAAGTACATATGTTGTTATTATTATTAGTGTTTGTTTGATTGTAATGATGGAATTTGGGTAGAAGAAAAACGAATTCCGGAAAATTGAATTGTCTAGAAGTTGTTTTCCTGAGAATTGTCAATTAAACCCCCGTTTGGACCCCCTTTGGGGAAATGAAAATGGGTGGAATAGTGTTTTATTGAAAAATTAATGGTTAAAAAAGAAGGAAATATTTTCGATTTATGTGTAATATTATTTTATGGAAGATTGTGTTGTTGAAAATAGGAGAGAGAAAAATGAAATGTAATATAATTGAAATTAATGGGGGCCAAACGGGGGCTAAATGTGTTTGATTGGTATAATTTTTCACATAAAAAATGTCGAAATTTTGGATCTTTTGATGTTTATTTGGCCTTATTTTTCATGAAAATTGTCAATTAAAGTAATAAATTTTTTTATAATTGTTGATAAATTTTATTCCCATTACTGAAAATTTCAAAAAAAAAAAAAATTAAACAGAATAAAGTTGGAAAACCCAATTCCCACCAAAATGGTGGGAATTGAGTTTCCACAAATTTGAGGAAAACAGGTAACGTGTTGGGGGGAGGAAAATTGATTTCCATGGAAAAATTTTACAATCAAACACAGCAAAAGATGGAAAATGGCAAAAATTTTCCATTTTCCATGAATACTTTTCTATATAAAAAATAGCCTTAGTATTTTGCTTTAATCTCATGATAATAACCTTTTTAGATACTTGTTGAAGGTATTTTGAATTTAATAATTCTTTGTCCGTATTCATACTTTTTATTTGTAAGTTAATTTAATATGAATTAACTAAAATTAGAAGTTCATTTGTATTTGATCATTATTTTCATTATTTTATTATAGTATTTCTCACAGTCAGCATTCTTCAATTTTATACATAAATAACTCAAATACATATTCAATTTTGTTTTAGATAGTCGTCGTGAGAAAATGATCAAAAAGTGAACGTATTCCTTTGCCATTGCATTAAATCATATATGTCAAACTTCACCTATAATTTATATTGTCTGTTGAAATTTGACATTTTGTTATTTCCTCTTCAAAATTTGGAGTTTAATTGACCGTGTTAGACTCTTCATAATTATATTAAAATTCTCTATAAGAAGGCTCAAGTAAGAATACGATGATTTTTCTTTAACAAGGCTTTACATTTGAAGTTGGCATAAATCCCCCAAAATATCATAACCGGCCCCATGTGGATCATTTGACTGTATCTTATCTAGCTAGTACCCGAAATCCTCATCATCTACAACCGTAGAGAAGCATGGTTTATTGAAATGAAAATCTAATCACTTTTTTTGCAGTTTGGGCAGCCACTTGCACCAAACCCCAGCAATAGTAGGCCCTCAATCATCAAACCATGTTATCATATGCACATATTAAATTCAAAATTCCATTTACTACTTAAAACAGGTAAAGATGTTATGTGTATATTCATATAAATCTTATAGTTCATGAGCAAGCAACCAACCAAAAATTTACTTGCAAAGGCTAATTATTACATTAATTTCTCTTAGGACTTCCAAGTTACAGCATCAAAACTGTTCTATCTAAATATATAAATAGCTAAAATAGTGTCAATGAAAAATATTAATTGATACAATACACCTTAAGAGTAATCATAAAATATTAAGCAAAGAGGAGTAAAAAATATTAAGATCTAAAAAAAGTTTAAATTTTGGTCTATTTGTTACCACGTACTAAACATTCACAAGCAATTAAGACTTGGTTCTTCACTATTATACTCCGAAAATAACTTAATTGATAGCATATTTGATAAAGAAGATTGAATATTGCTGGCCGAAAAGTGAAATTTCTTATCACAATCTTGTCCAGCCGAGTCGAGCATCTACCTTCAATTCGTACAACATGCCAAATATTCACAAGTAATCAAGACTTGGATCGTTGGGTTCGGGCTTGGGCTTCTGGTTCAAGTCAACCTTCTCTTGAAACCAAGAAGGTTGCAAAGACAGATTTGCATGGTCTTTCGATTGTGTGCCAATAATGGAATTACATTGAAGTGCATCAACTCTGGCGCCAACCTCAGCCGCCAACTGGCGTATCGCTGCCGCGGACAGGTCTTTGAGTCCGACGGCTGCGATTTCATCAGGGAAATTCAGCTTAGCAGACGGACCCCGGAGATAGTACACGGCGGTGTCATAGGCTCTCGCCGCCGCCACGGCTGTCGAATAAGATCCCAGCCAAATTCTTGATCTTTTATTTGGTTCTCTTATCTCTGCCACCCACTTTCCCCATTTACGCATCCTTATGCCTTTATAAGGCTTCTCGTTTTTTCTCTTGTTCCCCGCCGTTGAACAGCTCCGGCCTCCTGCAGCACCACCACCTCCGCCGCCGCTCTCCATTTCTCTCTCTGTATATGTATTACAATAATACTCTCTCTCTTTCTCTCTCTATATAGATAATGCTGGGGTCTCCATATATAAGACAGAACCCAAGAAGGGATATAGAGAGAGAAAGAATGACCTGAAGGAGCAGTGGATTTTCCTTAGGCAGACTACTTGAGAATTAAGGTTGTTGTCATATGTTGTCATCTGAAAAGAAATTCTATGAGGAAAATTAAAAAACTAACAAGACGCACCGACAATCTCTATCTATACGTGTTATACACACCCAATTATAAATTCGATTGATCTTTTATTTTCACTTTGATTTACTCCCCTTTTGTAAAAAGTTTATCTAAGCTTTGTACCAACGTGAAGCTTGATTTTAGTGATTAGTCATGTTATACCCTTCTATGTAAGGGTGTACACGATCCGACTTAAATGATATATGACAAATTTTTAAATCAAACCATTTAAATTTCTAAACCAAAATCAAATTAAACCATTTTTCAATTAGATTCAATTTAAAACGACGTTTTAACAAACAAAAAATGATGTATATCAAACAAATTAGATAAATATTATTATAAAACTTTAAATTAAAATAAAAATATTAGTACCATTGCAAATATTATAAGTTAAAGTTCTACACTTGTGCTCATTAGTTCATTCCAATGAAACAACGTGATAAGAACAGTTTAATTGTAACCTCTTAGTCGATAATAATAGTTGCAACATCTCCAGTTGTAGCACATTATTAACGCTTTGCATATAGCTAATAATATAGTAGATGTAATAAATAGTTATAATTAAATTACATTAAGAAACTAATAAAATAAAATGAATCGAAAGATCAAGTACGATATTATTCTCTACAACTTTCTCTTAATGATTCAATTCAATGCTTATATCTCATTCAAATATTGACGAATCACTATATGTTTCTTCTTAGAATTCAAGCAATTTATATTGCAAATTAATGTATCAATCATCTTTGCACTCAATGAACTCCTAAAGGAATTAATAATTTGATAGTTGGTGGAGAATGCACGCTCGAAAGAAATTGTGAATATTTAAATATCTAACACATCTTTAACAATTTATGAGACAAATCTTTTACTTATTCGCATTCAATTTCTACCAAAGAAATATATAGAGATGCTCATTACTCAAATTTTCATCACAACCATTTAAGTAATCTACCAAATAGTTCTAGCAATTAAAAAATAAAATTTAGCAACTAAGTTAAAAATAAATAAAAAATTGAGCGACTTGACTAAAACACAAATAAACAAAAAATACGATTTAGCTAAAAATTTAAGGGAGTCCAACAACACCAATAAAATATAGCAAATCTTTACCAAAAATAAGAAAATTTGGATAGATTGACCTAGAAATTGAGTCGAAATATGATGCGGAATTGAATTATAAATTTAATTGTCTATTCAATTATGATGGATGATCAATGAATATGGTCCAGCATCAATCATTTAGAGAATGCGTTGTTGAAAATGAGTTTGAGAAAAAATAATATTTTTAATGGTTGTAAAATAGGGCTTAATTAATATGAAAGTATCTTTTAATTGGGATACATTTAGTTTTATTTGTCTTAGATAAAATTTAAATTAATTTTTTTTCAAATTTTTTTATAAATAGTTTGATTTAAAACGGTTTACTAGAATTGAAACTTAAACTAAACAATTTTGGTTTAATTCAAAATCAAAATGTTGACAAATTCACGTAGACTCAAATCAACGGTTAAAAAAAAGTGGTCTCGATTTGAATTTACGATGCGGCGACTTCATGTACATGTCTCGCTGCAACATAATAAAAATTCTATTGGGAATATTAAAGGTTGGGCGTTACCTCACGAGAGAGCGGTTGGGCGCGAATTCGCAGATGCGTAAAGCATTTTCTCTCTCTTGGAAAAGATAGGTGGTCAATTTATTATTTTAGGAGTAAATTTGTTCCTAACTTTTAAAAGTTTACAAGTTGATCCTCAAATATTTATTATAATTGCATACTGAGTTCGTAACTACAAAAACCATTTAAATCTTTTTTATTAAGGAGGTGTTTGAGCCCCATTTTTATGTAGAACAGATTTTGTAATAGTAATTTTTTGGATAGTGTATGGTTAAAAAATAAAGAAAATTTTGGAGTTTACATGCAAAATTATTTTATTAGAAAAATATGTGGTTGAAAATGAATTGTTGAAGAAAAACTACTTTTATAGAATGGGGCTCGAACATTGACTAAATTGTTTTATGATCTCACAATCCAATTTTATAAATCCAGATTATATTTCTCAATTTTCAAATTGGAGTGGTATCTATATTTTTTTTGAAGTGAAACGGGATTGAAAATATCACTATTTACGTAGACAAACAATTTTTTTTTGTTAGAAATTGAATTGTTCACCAATAATAAAAACTTGAACATCAATTTACTCTATTTTATTAGTGTTGTCAAGGTGGATCGAATTGCTTGATTCAACAGCGAAAATTGAGAGAACCCATTGAAATAATTAAAAAAACGGCTAATTCAACATAAAAATCATTCAGTATCAACATGCTGCTTATGTCAAAAGTTCTATTTCATATATTTTGTAAATATTTTTACAATTAAATTCGATCATTTGACTCTTGATCCTTTATATTTTTAGATAATGCCTGCTAATTCTTAAAGTTGGTTCTCACAAGCCGGAAACCAAATTCATACTCAAAATAGGTAGGGGACCAGTTATGCAAATTTCCCCTTTCTTTTTCAAATTGCAAAGTCCGTTGTTTTCATATAGATGGGCTCGAAGAGGAATGGTGGAAGAAAACAAGAAAGTGATAAGATATTTATGGGAATTTGGAGAGTAATTTTATTTTTATGGATGGTGAAAGTGATTATTTTTTGTCGTTTAATTTATTGGGCGAAATTGGTGGGTAGTCGGTGAAATGATAGGTACCACTCTGATTTTGACCTTCCATTCCATCCAATTTTCATTATTTTAATGAATTCATCACTACCATACCCCACTCTCGAGTTATTTTTTTTTTAATTTTTTTGTTTTCAACTGTTTTTACTGTATCCCATATGTATAGTTATCAAATCAAATCCGATCCGATCCGATCATCTAAAAAAAATATTCAGGTGAGTAGTCTTTACAAAATATGGAGAGGGATCAATTCCAATTTGCTTATAAATCAATCGGACCATGTACTGACTTATCAACCGAACATGTACTGACTTATTACAAAAATTATGCTTGTTTAGATTGTTTAACTTGAAAAATAAGTTAATAATTATGAGTTTGAAACATAATCAAACATATTGATATATGTATTTTTTTAAATTTATTTTTTTCAATCCATTTTCAATCATACATATTTTCAAAATAATAATTTTACATGTAAATTCAAACACAAGTTAAACATGTATTTATCTTTTTTATTATATATCTTATACTACATTTTCAAATGCATATTTTCAAAAAATATACATATTGTTTTGAAAATAATTTTTTTTAAATGATAAAAACCAAAAACACAAGTTAAACCAAATACATGTATTTTTAAGAGTAATGCTATTCGTAATTGTTCACTATCGTGATTCATTTACGTGTCATACCTGTGACGGTTAATAATTTGATGTATTAGTATGGTAGTTTTTTATTGTTTCATGAATCAAATTAGCAACTACTACATGTATGCCATATAAGGCTACTACAGTAGTGAGTGACTGCAAATAATATTATTTTATTTCTAACTATATATATATATATTGCACATAGTATTTAATATCCCCTATATTTATAAAGGAATAAAGGGACTTTAATTTTTCCATTAATAATTTAATAATAACAATTAATTCACCTCTAAATAAGAAAAGTAATGTTATTTATAGTCGCTCACTGCGGTAGTCGTCTTTCGTAGCATCTTACATGGCGATTTGTGATTTGATATATTAATGTGATAGTTTCTTCTTGTCACATATATCAAATCACTAGCTGTCAAGTAGGACACATACGGTAGTGAGTGACTGCAAATAACATTATTCAAATAAGAATTTCTCATATTTTGTTTAATTAAAAAAGAAAGATTGAAATCAATGTACACAAGTGAACAGTAGAATATAGAATGACCTTTTCTTCCAGGAGTTCTTTATACAGACAAAAAGAGGTTGGGGCAATAATAATGCCCCCAAAACTTGATCATGGATTCATGGCATTATTTGGGAAAAAGCAAAAGGAAAAAAAATAAAAAATGGGAACCTTAATAATGTCTTAGGTTATCTACAAATTTGGTAATAATTTCACCCAACATATTATTGCTACACCAACAGCACTCCAGGGACGGATTAAGGGGATGAAAACAAATATTTTGTACCGATTAATACATAAAAATTTCTTTCTTACATATGAAAAGTATAACTAGGCTTGAACTGTCCTGAACTAAAGTTTTATCAGGACAAAACTTGTGCTTTCGATTTTCTCACTTTAATTGTAACATTTTGAGAATTCGTTGTATATGTATTACTTTTTAATGCCTCACATTATCCATGTATATGTGTCTAATTAGTTTTAGGGTTTTGATACTCTAATAGGGGCTGTGACAGGCGCAATGGACTAAAGTTTTTGTTGATACATAAAAATTCAGACCAAATCGAACGGCCCAAGGAATGAAGTCCAATTGGAGGATCCCCAAATCAGATAGCCCAAAGAACGAAACCCAATCAGACAATTCAGGATGAAGGCCCAAATAGGGAGGCCTATGAACGTGGTAACACCATCGCCCAAGGTTGCAAGTCGCCCAGGATCTGAACGAATGGAATGTCATGCAGTCGTCCAGAGCTGCTACTCTGTTCTCGCCCAAACCATCGAATCATCCAAAGTCTTAGCAAATATGAAGTGTTATGGTTATCAAGAAGCGCGGTTATTAAGCAGCCCTATCACGTTCCACGATTCAAGGAATTCAATTGAAGACGGTTGAATGACAAGGAGTAATGACAGTAGTCAGAAAATGCAGTTTCATGACAAGTTGGCCATTACGAGGAAAGTGGACAGTTATAGAACGATCAAACAGTTTTTAGGCGGTTGATCACAAAGAGATCATCCAGGGTAAAAGGAAGAAAAGACATAAAGTAAAGGACCCCGAATCAAACATTCTCAAACAGAGAATATGTAATTTTAAATTTCTTAGTTTAGATTTAAACAA